GTAAATATCGCTGACACATCAAAATTCGCGAGAGCATAATTTCGTCAATTTTCCACCAAATTTCGTACTTTTTGTTTTATTACCTTCACTAAAAGATTCTCTACGATTTCATAAGAAAAAATAACAAATTTTTTTTTTTTAAATTCTTGGACACTGGTGCGTGACTCCAGATTTGGGCCTTGGACCCTTAAAGGGTTAAGAAACAGAGAAGAGAAGTAACCCCAGAAAAGCACTTGGTACCTGAGGTGTTGATGGAAGGGGATTTCCCTTCCAAACAGTAATTCCACGTCTCTCTTCCTCCAGTCTTCCATACACTAAGAAAAATCACCAATAAAGGTAAGCGTTGTGCTGTTAATGTTTCATTCATCATGTGCCATTGTATTGTTTATGTACTACATCTATATTTCATGTAAAAAATTTTTGTTTTAATACTTCTGGGTGTCAAGAACGGATTAATTGTATTTACATTATTTCTTATGGGGAAAATTTATTCAAAAATTGTCTATTTCGATAATACTCCCACTTCCAGGAACGGATTATGGACGATAATTGAGGGACCACTGTATATGGAATAGGTGGTAAGTTACTAAATGCTGTAAGGAGTTTTTATGAGGATAGTGAGGCTCAGGTTAGGGTGTGTAGAAAAGAGGGAGACTACTTCCCAGTAAGAGTAGGTCTTAGACAGGGATGTGTAATGTCACCATGGTTGTTTAATATATTTATAGATGAGGTTGTAAAAGAAGTAAATGCTAGGGTGTTCGGGAGAGGGGTGGGATTAAATTATGGGGAATCAAATACAAAATGGGAATTGACACAGTTGCTTTTTGCTGATGATACTGTGCTTATGGGAGATTCTAAAGAAAAATTGCAAAGGTTAGTGGTAATGCTGGTGCAGTAGTAAGGATGAATGGGAGGGTGTTGGCACCTGGAGAAGAAGTCGATATCCTTGGGGTGAAATTTGACTCCAAACTAACCATGAAGAACCATGTTGTAAATCTTGCAAACAAGGCAGCCAGGAAGCTTACAGCACTTCGCCGTGTCTCGCATCTGCTTGACAGTAGGGCTTGCAAGATTCTGTATGAGGCACAAGTACGCTCACACCTTGAGTATGCTCCACTTTCTTGGTTTGCGTGCCCCCCTCTCATCTGCGACTGCTTGATAGAGTAGAGAACAGAGCAAGACGTCTCATCTCTCGCCTGGACCCATTCTGGATAGATCTGTCATTTCAGCAGAGCCTTCAACACAGGAGGGATATGGGTGGCCTTACTGTTATGTACAAGGCCAATATTGTCAAAGTACCACACTTGGATCCACTTCAAGGACAGTGAGAAACAAGCTTTTATGCCACAAGACGGGCAGAAAGCAGCAACTTCACTCTGGCTGTACCCTTCTCCAGAACATCACTCGAGTATGGAACACATTCGTACAGCATAATGATGTCAACGAGATAAAGTCAGTTGAAGAAATGAAAATGCTGGCCAACAGATGGCTCCAACTTCATCCTGTTAAGAACATAAGAAAGGAGGAACACTGCAGCAGGCCTTTTGGCCCATACTAGGCAGGTCCTTCACAGATCCATCCCACTAATAGAATATTTACCCTCATAAGAACATAAGATGATAAGAAATAAGGAACACTGCAACAGGTCTACTAGTGGTGTAAGACAGGTATACAATACCGACACACTTGTATGTCTCATAACAATAAAAATGCTTTCAAATGAGCTGATGTAGGTAACAGCTCTTAGCTTGCCAATAAAGTTAGAGATCCTTAACCTGTAAATAGCTTGTCAATAAGGCTAGGGGTCCTTAACCTAACCTTGTCAAACCCTGTGTAAAAAAAAAAAAAAAAAAAAAAAAAGGTAGAAAGTTGAAAGTGAACACAGAAAAGAGTATGGTGAAGAGGGTATCAAATTTAAGATAAAGAAAAATTGGATATCAAATTGGGAAGGAGTATGGTAGAAGTGAATCTTTTCAGATATTTGAGAGTTGACGTGTCAACGGATGGATTTATGAAGGATGAGGTTAATCATAGAACTGATGAAGAATAAAAGGTGAGTGGTGCATTGAGGTATATGTGGAGACAAAAAATGTTATCTATGGACGCAAAGAAAGGAAAGTATGAAAGTATAGTAGTACCAACACTCTTATATGGGTGTGAAGCTTGGGTTGTAAATGTAAATCTTCAGTCATGTTAATTAACAGCTTTGAGGGGACTTGAGCTAGAGTTTGTTACGGCCACGCTAGCTGGAGATTTGTCTGTAAAAACTTGCATTTGTGGTCACAGTGGTGCCTATGCTAACCTTCCTATGGTGTAGAAATATACCTAGTTGGACGAATCTTATTGTGGCTAGCTGGTCCAGTGGTTAACGCAACGTCTGGAGTTTTTAGACTCTGATCGCGGGTTCTATCCCTGCCCGTGGCATGGTTTATTAAACTTTATGTATTTTTGGTAAGATTACAGTGTGTGGCAAAATTAGTTGCCCAAGTATCCTTTTATCAAACAATATTAAGGTACGTATATGGACTGTTCATATAGTCACTTACTACAGTTGTTAAGTCTCAGCATCTAGCCCCTCCTTTGAATTTACAATAAACCTGTGTTGTTGCTTCAGGCTTCTAAGGAGAAATAAACAACACCTGCCTCTGAAAACTCACCTTACCTAATGTGACCCACAGAATACTAAGTCCCTCCCACCCTTCATTACCCCTAGCTGGTAAGGGTATATGTATACAAGGCACAAGTACGCTCACACCTTGAGTATGCTCCACTTTCTTGGTTTGCCTGCCCCCCCTCTCATCTGCGACTGCTTGACAGAGTAGAGAACAGAACAAGACATCTCATCTCTCAGCTGGACCCATCCGGGATAGATCTGTCATTTCAGCAGAGCCTTCAACATAGGAGGGATGTGGGTGGCCTTACTGTTATGTACAAGGCCAATATTGTCAAAGTACCACACTTGGATCCACTTCAAGGACAGCGAGAAACAAGCTTTTATGCCACAAGATGGGCAGAAAGCAGCAACTTCACTCTGGCTGTACCCTTCTCCAGAACATCACTCCATCTGAGATCATATATACCCAGGATGACTCGAGTATGGAACGCATTCGTACAGCATAATGATGTCAACGAGATAAAGTCAGTTGATCACATGAAAATGCTGGCCCACAGATGGCTCCAACTTCATCCTGTTCCCTACTTGTATGTCTCATAACAATAAAAAAGCTTTCAAAAGAGTTAGGAATCCTTAACCTGTAAATAGCTTGTCAATAAAGCTAGGGATCCTTAACCTTGTCAAACCCTGTGTAAAGAGAAGAGAGAGAGAGAGAGAGAGAGAGAGATGAGGAGAGTGAGAGAGAGAAGAGAGAGAGAGAGAGGAGAGAGAGAGAGAGAGAGGAGGGGAGAGAGGGAGAGGGAGAGAGAGAGGGAGAGAAAGGGGAGAGAGAGGGAGGAGAGAGGGAGGGAGAGAGGGAGAGAGAGGGAGAGAGAGAGAGGGAGAAGGGGGAGGAGAGAGGAGAGAGAGAGAGAGGGAGAGAAGAGAGAGAGAGAGAGAAAAGAGAGAGAGGGGAGAGAGAGAGGATGGAGAGGAGGAGAGAGGGAGAGAGAGAGGGAGAGAGAGAGGGGAGAGAGGGGGAGAGGAGAGGGAGGAGGGAGGAGAAGGAGGGAGAGGAGGGAGGGAGGGAGAGAGGGAGGGAGAGAGGGAGGGAGAGAGAGGGGGGGAGGGAGAGAGGGGGGAGAGAGGGGGAGAGAGAGAGGGGAGAGAGAGGGTGAGAGAGAGGGAGAGGGAGAGGGAGGAGAGGAGAGGGAGAGAGAGAGGGAGGGAGGGGAGAGAGGAGGGAGAGAGAGAGGGAGGGAGAGGGGAGGGAGGGAGGGAGAGGGAGGGAGGGAGAGAGGGGGGAGGAGAGAGGGAGAGGAGAGGGAGGGAGAGAGGGGGAGGGAGGGAGGAGAGGGGAGGGGAGAGGGAGGGGAGGGGAGGGAGGAGGGAGGGAGGGAGGGAGGGAGGGAGGGAGGGAGGAGGGAGGGAGAGAGGGAGGGAGGGGAGAGGGAGGGGAGGGAGGGAGGAGGGGGGGAGGAAAGGGGGAGGAAGAGAGGGAGGGAGGGAGAGGGAGAGGAAAGGGAGGGAGGGAGGGAGAGAGGGAGGATGGGGGCTGGGGTAAGTGGAGATGAAGGGCTGACTACCTGTTAATGGTTTCATGGGTCATTGCCTCCACTACCTGCTCTCTGGACAGTTAGCATGTCGCGCATATAATTGGTTTTAAGCATTCGGACACAGTGTACAAGGAACACTTACGATATTACGTTTGTTTCAAGGTCCAATACTCCTCAAAACATTGAAAGAAATTGCACTGCTTAACTATATTAGGCTATCCTGGGTTGATTATTATGTTATGTACTTTGGTTTGAGGAATATCCTGGGTTATATAAACAAAGTAATTTCTGTGTCCATAACACTTGTGTGCCTTCAATACTACTGTAAAACATGTTTACAAGAAAATTTTATGATATTACTACTGTTTCAAGGTGTAATACTCATCAAAAAAGGAAATAAATCACAGTTTGACTATATTGGGTTATCCCAGATTAAATCTCCAGTATGCTTTTTGACTGAATTCCACTGTTAATATCATGAAATTAAAGAATTTGGAATAAATCAGGCATATCTTAGCAGTTCCACACCCTGCTTGCTGGTAGGGATGCAGGTGGTGTAACAACTGGTAGTGGTTCACTGTTTACTTATGTTAGGCAGTATTACCCATGATGCACTATGTGGACCCATCTGATCTGAGAATTTTTTTACTGGCATGAAGAGGTTGTAAGAAACCCAAATGGTTGTGCCAAGGCCAAAAATTCTGACAAGTGACAAGTTTGAAAGCACAAGAAATGGTGTACCAAGTCACCACTTGCATACTAGTATGTTGGACACTGTTAAAAGCTTAAGAGGGTTTTGAAAGAATATTAATTATGTACTGTATATGCTTCATGTCCTCTTATTTGTCATACAAAAGGTAAATTTACATACAGTACTTACCCTTGTTCCCTCATCACATCCTCCATTTCAGCACATTTTAACTCAAGAGCTCGTTTACGAGCATGTTCACGAATTTCGGCATTTGGACCCTGGGTTCTCTGATCTTCTAACTTTTGTAACTCTTCCTCTGTACGAAAATCAATCTGCAATATAAATGGAAATAACATTACACATGATAATTTCAACCTTAAAAAAATGCCTAAACACCACTCCCTTGCTTTTGACAATTTCTGAATGATTTGATGTATCACAAAATATTCTATATTAATTTTTTTTTTTTTTCAACAAGTCGGCCGTCTCCCACCGAGGCAGGGTGACCCAAAAAAGAAAGAAAATCCCCAAAAAGAAAATACTTTCATCATCATTCAACACTTTCACCACACTCGCACGTTATCACTGTTTTTGCAGAGGTGCTCAGAATACAACAGTTTAGAAGCATACACATATAAAGATACACAACATATCCTTCCAAACTGACAATATCCCAAAACCCCTCCTTTAAAGTGCAGGCATTGTACTTCCCATTTCCAGGACTCAAGTCCGACTATATGAAAATAACCAGTTTCCCTGAATCCCTTCACTAAATATTACCCTGCTCACACTCCAACAGATCGTCAGGTCCCAAGTACCATTCGTCTCCATTCACTCCTATCTAACACGCTCACGCACGCTTGCTGGAAGTCCAAGCCCCTTGCCCACAAAACCTCCTTTACCTCCTCTCTCCAACCCTTTCGAGGACGACCCCTACCCTGCCTTCCTGCCCCTATAGATTTATATGCTTTCCATGTCATTCTACTTTGATCCATTCTCTCTAAATGACCAAACCACCTCAACAACCCCTCTTCTGCCCTCTGACTAATACTTTTGTTAACCCCACACCTTTTCCTAATTCCCACACTCCGAATTTTCTGCATAATATTTACACCACACATTGCCCTTAAACAGGACATCTCCACTGCCTCCAACCGTCTCCTCGCTGCTGCATTTACCACCCAAGCTTCACACCCATATAAGAATGTTGGTACTACTATACTTTCATACATTCCCTTTTTTGCCTCCATAGATAACGTTTTTTGACTCCACATATACCTCAACGCACCACTCACCTTTTTTCCCTCATCAATTCTATGATTAACCTCATCCTTCATAAATCCATCCGCCGACACGTCAACTCCCAAGTATCTGAAAACATTCACTTCTTCCATACTCCTCCTCCCCAATTTGATATCCAATTTTTCTTTATCTAAATCATTTGACACCCTCATCACCTTACTCTTTTCTATGTTCACTTTCAACTTTCTACCTTTACACACATTCCAAACTCATCTACTAACCTTTGCAATTTTTCTATAGAATCTCCCATAAGCACAGTATCATCAGCAAAAAGTAACTGTGTCAATTCCCATTTTGAATTTCATTCCCCAAAATTTAATCCCACCCCTCTCCCGAACACCCTAGCAATTACTTCCTTTACAACCCCATCTATAAATATATTAAACAACCATGGTGACATTACACATCCCTGTCTAAGACCTACTTTTACCGGGAAGTAGTCTCCCTCTCTTCTACACACCCTAACCTGAGCCTCACTATCCTCATAAAAACTCTTTACAGCATTTAATAACTTACCACCTATTCCATATACTTCCAACATCTGCCACATTGCTCCCCTATCCACTCTATCATATGCCTTTTCTAAATCCATAAATGCAATAAAAACTTCCCTACCTTTATCTAAATACTGTTCACATATATGTGTGGTGTGAATATAATGCAGAGAATTCGTAGTTTGGAAGTTAGGAGGAGGTGCGGGATTACCAAAACTGTTGTCCAGAGGGCTGAGGAAGGGTTGTTGAGGTGGTTCGGACATGTAGAGAGAATGGAGCGAAACAGAATGACTTCAAGAGTGTATCAGTCTGTAGTGGAAGGAAGGCGGGGTAGGGGTCGGCCTAGAAAGGGTTGGAGGGAGGGGGTAAGGGAGGTTTTGTGTGCGAGGGGCTTGGACTTCCAGCAGGCATGCGTGAGCGTGTTTGATAGGAGTGAATGGAGACAAATGGTTTTTAATACTTGACGTGCTGTTGGAGTGTGAGCAAAGTAACATTTATGAAGGGATTCAGGGAAACCGGCAGGCCGGACTTGAGTCCTGGAGATGGGAAGTACAGTGCCTGCACTCTGAAGGAGGGGTGTTAATGTTGCAGTTTAAAAACTGTAGTGTAAAGCACCCTTCTGGCAAGACAGTGATGGAGTGAATGATGGTGAAGGTTTTTCTTTTTCGGGCCACCCTGCCTTGGTGGGAATCGGCCAGTGTGATAATAAAAAAAAAAAAAAAAAAAATATATGCTTCAATGTAAACACTTGATCTACACATCCCCTACCCACTCTGAAACCTCCTTGCTCATCCACAATCCTACATTCTGTCTTACCTCTAATTCTTTCAATTATAACCCTACAGTACACTTTTCCTGGTATACTCAGTAAACTTATTCCTCTATAATTTTTACAGTCTCTTTTGTCCCCTTTCCCTTTATATAAAGGGACTATACATGCTCTCTGCCAATCCCTAGGTACCTTCCCCTTTTTCATACATTTATTAAACAAAAGTACCAACCACTCCAACACTATATCCCCCCCTGCTTTTAACATTTCTGTCATGATCCCATCAGTTCCAGCTGCTTTACCCCCTTTCATTTTACGTAATGCCTCACGTACCTCCCCCACACTTACATTCTGCTCTTCTGCACTCCTAAAAGATGGTATACCTCCCTGACCAGTGCATGAAATTACTGCCTCTGTTTCTTCCTTAACATTTAAAAGTTCCTCAATATATTCTCGCCATCTACCTAATACCTCCCTCTCCCCATCTACTAACTCCCCTACTCTGTTTTTAACTGACAAATCCATACTTTCCCTAGGTTTTCTTGACCTGTTTAACTCACTCCAATTTTTTTTCTTATTTTCATTAAAATTTCTTGACAGTGCCTCTCCCACTCTATCATCTGCTCTCCTTTTGCACTCTCTCACCACTCTCTTTACCTTTCTTTTACTCTCCATATACTCTGCTCTTCTTATAAACACTTCTGCTTTGTAAAAACCTCTCATATGCTACCTTTTTCTCTTTTATCACACCTTTACTCATCATTCCACCAATCACTCCTCTTTCCTCCTGCCCCCGCCCTCCTATAACCACAAACTTCTGCCCCACATTTAATACTGCATTTTTAAAACTATTCCAACCCTCTTCAACCCCCTCACTACTCATCTTTGCACTAGCCCACCTTTCTGCCAATAGTCGCTTATATCTCACCCGAACTTCCTCCTCCCTTAGTTTATACACTTTCACCTCCCTCTTACTTGTTGTTGCCACCTTCCTCTTTTCCCATCTACCTCTTACTCTAACTGTAGCTACAACTAGATAATGATCCTATATATCAGTTGCCCCTCTATAAGCATGTACATCCTGGAGCCTACCCATCAACCTTTTATCCACCAATACATAATCTAATAAACTACTTTCATTACATGCTACATCATACCTTGTATATTTATTTATCCTCTTTTTCATAAAATATGTATCTTATTACCAAATCTCTTTCTACACATAGCTCAATTAAAGGCTCCCCATTTACATTTACCCTTGGCACCCCAAATTTACCTACTACTCCCTCCATAACATTTTTACCCTCTTTAGCATTGAAATCCCCAACCACCATTATTCTCACACTTGATTCAAAACTCCCCATGCATTCACTCAACATTTCCCAAAATCTCTCTCTCTCTCCTCTACACTTCTCTCTTCTCCAGGTGCATACACGCTTATTATAACCCACTTTTCACATCCAATCTTTATTTTACTCCACATAATCCTTGAATTAATACATTTATAGTCCCTCTTTTCCTGCCATAGCTTATCCTTCAACATTATTGCTACTCCTTCTTTAGCTCTAACTCTATTTGAAACCCCTGACCTAATCCCATTTATTCCTCTCCACTGAAACTCTCCCACCCCCTTTAGCTTTGTTTCACTTAAAGCCAGGACATCCAGCTTCTTCTCATTCATAACATCCACAATCATCTCTTTCTTATCATCTGCACAACATCCACGCACATTCAGACTTCCACTTTGACAATTTTCTTCTTATTCTTTTTAGTAATCTTTACAGGAAAAGGGGTTACTAGCCCCTTGTTCCGGCATTTAGTTGACTTTTACAACACGCATGGCTTACGGAGGAAGATTCTTATTCCACTTCCCCATGGATATAAAAGGAAAAGTAATAAGACCAAGAACTATTAAGATAAAATCAAAGAAAACTCAGATGAGTGTGTATAAATAAATGTGTACATGTATGTGTAGTGTGACCTAAGTGTAAGTAGAAGTAGCAAGACATACCTGTAATCTTGCATATTTATGAGACAGACAAAAGACATCAGCAATCCTACCATCATGTAAAACAATCACAGGCTTTCGTTTTACACTCACTTGGCAGGACGGTAGTACCTCCCTGGGTGGTTGCTGTCTACCAACCTACTACTACTACTACTACTACTGAGTAAGAGCATGGGGTAAGCTGTGATGCATCTCATTAACTGCAGATGCAAATACTGGTAATTAAAAGATAAATGGCACTTCAAGTCACCTCAAAACCGATTCTCTGTAAATCAGTTAAGCATCATGCCAATGTATGAAATGTTCCTCAGTGTTTCTGTGAATGACACAAGCATTGTTGGTGTCATCCCTGTTGCAGTGTATCATACACTTTGTTGCATGTCCAGAGGAAATAATAAATACTCCTACCACTGTTACTACTATATCCTATGTATGTACAGTATGTGCATATGTGCATTTGTGTCCATTTCTCTCTAGTTTTCAGCAGATCATATTGAACTGTCACTCTTATATTAGACGTATACCAAAATATCAGTACAGTATCAGTGGATGTTGGCTAATTTTCATGGTATCTGTATCTGCCTTAAAATAAATACAGTATCAGTAACAACAAAAATTCTGGAATTGTCCCATTCCTGTTTATAATGCCATTCTCTCCATTTCTCCATACTGCAACACTTCTGCTTAAATGGCAACTCACTATAAGCTCTACTGCACAACATGAACCACTTCCACTCAACAGGGCTGAGTGTTTATGTCCAAGAAATTTTGTAATGCATGTTCCCATGTAGGAATGTAAAGAACATTAGTGTTTCTGACTGAATGTCCTCATTTTTAGGGCCATTCATACCTTAGAAGAAGTTAGCTGGTTTACTACAAAAATAAAAAGACACACTACCTTGTTTTTAATATTGCGAATAAGAGCAAGGTTCCGTTGAACATAGCCATTAGTGCCAGACCCTCTGGCTGTCTGTAGTCCAATGCCATTGTACATACTGGTGGAAGAGCCTGAAAAACAGTGGGTTTGTGTCTTATTACAAAACATGCACACAAGACAGATAAATAGATATCAGTAGGCAGGTAGGAGGGGGTGCATATATGTATATATATGTAATGTATATGTATGTATGTATGTATGCATGTAATGTATGTATGCATGTATGTATGCATGTAATGTTTGAATGTATGTAATGCATTAATGTATGTATATAATGTAGGAATGTATGTAATGCATGAATGTATGTATATAATGTATGAATGTATATAATGCATGAATGTACGTATATAATGTATGAATGTATATAATGCATGAATGTATGCAATGCATCAATGTATGTATGTAATGTATGTACTCACCTATTTGTACTCACCTATTTGTGGTTGCAGGGGTCGAGTCATAGCTCCTGGCCCCGCCTCTTCGCTGATTGCTACTAGGTCCTCTCTCCCCTGCCCCATGAGCTTTATCATACCTCGCCTTAAAACTATGTATGGTTCCCACCTCCACTACGTCACTTTCTAGGCTATTCCACGGTCTGACTACTCTATGACTGAAGAAATACTTCCTAACATCCCTTTGATTCATCTGAGTCTTCAATTTCCAACTGTGACCTCTTGTGTCTGTGTCCCTTCTCTGGAACATCCCGTCTTTGTCCACCTTGTCTATTCCGCGCTGTATTTTATATGTCGTTATCATGTCTCCCCTGACCCTCCTGTCCTCCAGTGTCATCAGGCCAATTTCCCTCAACCTTTCTTCGTAGGACAATCCCCTTAGCTCTGGGACTAGTCTTGTTGCAAACCTTTGCACTTTCTCTAATTTCTTGACATGCTTGACTAGGTGTGGATTCCAAACTGGTGCTGCATACTCCAGTATGGGCCTGACGTAAATGGTATACAGAGTCTTGAACGAATCCTTACTGAGGTATCGGAACGCTATCTGTAGGTTTGCCAGGCGCCCGTATGCTGCAGCAGTTATCTGATTGATGTGCGCCTCAGGAGATATGCTCGGTGTTATACTCACCCCCAGATCTTTTTCCTTGAGTGAGGTTTGCAGTCTTTGGCCATCTAAACTATATTGTGTCTACGGTCTTCTTTGCCCTTCCCCAATCTTCGTGACTTTGCATTTGGCAGGGTTAAATTCAAGGAGCCAGTTGCTGGACCAGGCTTGTAGACTGTCCAGGTCTCTTTGTAGTCCTGCCTGATCCTCATCCGATTTGATTATTCTCATTAACTTCACATCATCTGCAAACAAGGACACTTCTGAGTCTATCCCTTCCGTTATGTCATTCACATATACCAAGAACAGCACAGGTCCTAGGACTGACCCCTGTGGAACCCCGCTTGTCACAGGCGCCCACTCTGACACCTCATCACGTACCATGACTCGTTGTTGCCTCCCTGTCAGGTATTCTCTGATCCATTGCAGTGCCTTTCCTGTTATGTGTGCCTGATCCTCTAGCTTTTGCAGTAACCTTTTGTGAGGAACTGTGTTGAAGGCCTTCTTGCAGTCCAAAAAAATGCAGTCGATCCACCCCTCTCTCTCTTGTCTTACTTCTGTCACCTTGTCATAAAACTCCAGTAGGTTTGTGACACAGGTCAGACTTGACTTTCGATGCTATGTCATTTTCATATTGTCGCTGAGCCTCCCTTATCTGTGCATATTCGTTTCTGGCTCTTCGGCTAATCTCTTTATTTTCCTGAGTTCTCTGTCTTCTGTACCTTTTCCATTCTCTAGTACACCTAGTTTTTGCCTCCCTACACCTTTGGGTGAACCAAGAACTCGTTCTGTTCTTCCCATTATTTCTGTTTCCCTTGGGAACAAACCTCTCCTCTGCCTCCTTGTATTTTGTTGCCACATAGTCCATCATTTCTTGTACTGGTTTTCCTGTCAGTTCCCTCTCCCACTGAATGTCTTGCAGGAAGTTCCTCATGCCTGAGTAGTTCCCCCTTTTGTAGTTTGGTTTTTCCCAACCTATTCCTGCTACTCTTTCCACTTGAAGCTCAACTATGTAGTCGAAGCACAGAACCACATGATCACTAGCTCCCAGGGGCCTTTCATACATGATATCCTCGATGTCCGAACTACTCAAGGTGAATATAAGGTCCAGTCTTGCTGGTTCATCCTCTCCTCTCTCTCTGGTAGTGTCTCTAACATGTTGATGCATGAGGTTTTCCAGTACCATATCCATCATCTTGGCTCTCCATGTTTTGGGATCCCCATGGGGCTCCAGGTTTTCCTAGTCAATCTCCTTGTGATTGAAATCACCCATAACTAGTAACTTTGCTCCCCCCATGTATGCTCTCCTGGCCACCTCGGCTAGTGTGTCGACCATTGCTCTGTTGCTCTCATTGTATTCTTCTCTTGGCCTCCTGCAGTTCTGTGGTGGGTTGTAAATTACTGCAATTATCACTGCAATTATATATGTATGTAATGTATGTAATGTACGTAATGTACGTATGTATGTGACGTATTTCGTGGCTTATTAGACACATTTTTTTTTCCATAAAATATCTCCAAAAACCACCCTGCGTCCTATAAACTGAAGGTCAGTGATGGGAGCTATAAGTTTGGGGTGTGGGGTGGGCTCTAGCTCTCCCAGTTACATCTAATGCCAAGCCACTGAAACTAAAACAAGTCCAGTGTTTCAAAATTGCAGTAAATTAATAACGTTTTGAGACAAGCTATTTATGAAATACGGATACTGTACTGGGATATTGACAGAAAACAAAATTCCTCCTTAAGTAACACCTTCCTTTCTTATTTCTTAAACTACTGAAGTCATAAAGCAGTGTCATTAATGGTAGGCACTTTAAAATAATGCTACCATATACTATGCTATCATTAGGACATGCTGGGTATTTTCACCTGGGTATTTTCACTTTTCACTATATTACTAGGTACCGATAATTGTATTTACTGTATGTTATGGTACAACAGCTGAAGCAGCGATTTTTGTTTATACCAACAGTCACTGACAAAGGCACATCAGTATGCACTCTGGGAGCCTCAATATATAGAGTTGTGCACACAGCAGCAACTCAGCCACCAGTGACTGTTTCACCATTTAAGATTGAGAGATCATCAAGGTGTTCAGGCGAGCACTAGGCCTATATACATGTATTTTGACCTACCAATAAATCAAACTTAACCTTATTTCTGCATGTAAAATTACCATAGGTTTCAGTGGAGTAAATATTATTTGGTATTAGGCATTCTTAACTTTTTTCTGATTATTCCTTCTAAATTGGGATGTGTCTAATGCATCGTAGCATTTTATAAGCTGCGAAATATGGTATGTATGTATGCATGTATGTACATATATGTATGTAATTTATGTATGTAATTTATGTATGTGATGTAGGTATGTATGTATGTGATGTAGGTATGTATGTATGTATGTATGTGATGTAGGTATGTATGTATGTATGTATGTATGTATGTAATGTATGTATGTGATGTAGGTATGTATGTATGTATGTATGTGACATATGTATGTATGTATGTATGTATGTATGTATGTATGTATGTATGTAATGTATGTATGTATGTAATGTATGTATGTAATGTATGTATGTAATGTATGTATGTAATGTATGTATGTAATATATGTGTGTAATGTATGTATAACTTTACCTCTGATATATCTTTGAAGAGTTTTGAGAGTTTCACTACTCTCGGAGCCAGGCCGTAAGCCAGGCTCGTCTGGTGCTTGCCTGGTCAACCAGGCTGTTGCTGATGGAGGCCCGCTGCCCCACATATCCATCACAGCCTGGTTGATCGGCACCTGGTGAATGTAATGTATGTATGTCAACCACCTAGATACCCATCAATTACACAACCCAGGGCAACACGAGATTAGAGCAGGTTGTTCCTGCCTGTCCCAGCTACTGGACCACTATGACAAGGTCTTGGATGCTATAGAGGATAAACAAAATGCAGATTAGTAGTATGTATATAAAGACTTTGCGAAAGCCTTCAACAAGTGCGACCACAGTGTAATAGCTCATAAAATGCATGATAAAGGAATAACAAAAAACTTGATAGATGGATCTATAATTTCCTAACAAATAGAACACAGAGAGAAATAGTAAACAGAGTAAGGTCTGAGGCAGCTATGGTGAAAAGCTCTGTTCCAGAAGGCACAGTACTCACTCCCATCCCATTCCTCATCTTCATGTGTGAGAGAGACAGAGATGTAAGCCATAACTCCGTGTCTTCCTTTGCAAATGACACCCAAATTGCCATGACAGTATCCTGCAAGACTCCAAACTGACATCAACCAAATCTTAAGTGAGCCACTCAAAACAATATCAAGTTCAATGAAGAGAAATTTCAACTACTCAGATATGGAAAACTTGAGGAAATTAAAACTGTATCAGGGTATACAACAAATTCTACCCATACAATAGCACAAAAAAGTAATGTGAAGGACCTGGGAGTGATAATGTCAGAGGGTTTCACCTTCAAAGACCACAACAATGTATCTAACACATCTGCTAGAAAAATGATAGGATGGATAATGAGAACCTTCAAAACTAGGGATGCCAAGCTCATGCTGATTCTCTTCAATGTGCTTATTCTCTTTAAGTTGGAATACTGCTGTACACTAACTGTCCCCTTCAACGCAGGTAAAACTGCTAAATTGGAGAGTATGCAAAGAATTTTCATGACACACATAAGAAAGATAAAGCACCTAAATTACTGCGAACGGTTGAAGTTCCTTAATTTGTATTCCCTGGAAAGCAGGCGAGAAAGACATGCGATAATATACACTTGGAAAATCCTAGAGGGATTGGCACCAAACTTGCATACGAAAATCACTCCCTATGAAAGCAAAAGACTTGGCATGAGATGCATCATTGCCCCAGTGAAAAGTAGGGGTGCCACGAGTACACTGACAGTCAACACAATAAGTGTCAGGGGCCCAAGACTGTTCAATTGCCTCCCAGCATACGTAAAGGGGATTACCGATAGACCCCTGGCTGTCTTCACCTAAAGTCGACCAGCTGGGCTGTGGTTTGTACATCAGGTTGTGTGCGGCTAACAGTAACTGCCTGGTTGATCAGGCACTGATCCACCATGAGGCCTGGTCACAGAATGGGCCGCGGGGGCGTTGACCCCCGGAACCCTCTCCAGGTATACTCCAGGTATGTAATGAATGTATGTAATGAATGTATGTATGATTATTTTTTTTTTTCAACACAACAGCCATCTCCCACCGAAGCAGGGTGACCCAAAATAGAAAGGAACACTTTCACCATCACTCACACATAATCACTGTCTTTGCAGAGGCACCCTGATATAACAGTTCAGATGTCACTCCAAAGAGCCAATATTCTAAGCTCCTCCTTGAAAGTGCAGGCATTGTACGTCCCACCTCCAGGATTCTAAGTCTACCTAACATACTCGAACATGCCTGCTGCATGTCCAGGCTTCTAGCACACAAAACCTCTTTTGTCCCCTCCCTCCATTCTTTCCTATATGTATCTATATACAGTGGAACCTCTGCTTACGAGTGCCCCACCATGCGAGTTTTTCAGGATACGAGCCATCGCTCGGTCAATTTTTTGCTCTGGGATATAAGCCAAAATTCAGTTTGCAAGCTTCCCCCTCAAGGGAGGTTCCTTGATGCTGGTGAGGGGCTCTTGATCTAGGGAATTGGAGCTGTGCTCCAGTTCCCTAAATTAACAATAATAATAATAATGAGTGAGTTTCAGAACATCCCCACTAGGTGGCACAGCCAACACCACAACATCAGCTGAGCTGTGCAATGTGTTTATGTCACCGTGGAAGCATTTCTCATGTTATTATTGCCAAATTTCTATTTTCTGATAATGGGTCCTAAAAAAGTAAGTGCAAAGGACAGTGGTGAGAAGAAAAAGAGGATGATGTCCATGGAATTACAGCATGAAATCATAGATAAACAAGCGAGGTGTGGTGTGGCAGTAGGAGCTAGTAGCCTATCTTCCACTCTCCACCTCCACCTCCGCCAGCGTACATACACTTTATAAAACCACTACGTATTTCTTTACATTCTCTATTATGTTTTTATACAATATTTCTTAATTATGAAACTTATTTATGAAACTAGTGCAGTTAGCTTCACAAACACTCCGTTTTCTCTTATAATAAAAGCATGGGAAGATATAGTTAGCGGGAGAGGGAATAGCCACCGCCACCACCACCACTCGCTATATTATGGCCTATTTTATTCATTCTAGAGTATATATAATGTTTCTGATAATTATATTGTTTATTATGTCATATTAGATGAATTTTGATAGATAAATAAACCGTAGAGTTGATATTAGCGTCATATTGAAGTATTTTTGTCCTACCTCCTGAGAGCCGAATTCTGCTGAAACGGATTAATGGCATTTCAATTAATTTAAATGAGGAAAACTGATTCAGCATATGAGCAGATCAGGTTAAGAGCTAGGTCACGGAATGGATTAAACTCATAGCCAGACGTTCCACTGTATATATCATACATACATACAAACACATATATGGGATCTTAACTTTGTTATCATTATTAAGGGAATTTCATGAGATATTAAAACTGTGATGCGTGATCACTTTCTCCAAGTTCTTCATTAATTCTGACTTTTTCGGGGATATCCTGCATAATTTGCACATTAAACTATGTATGATAACTGTACTTATGTGTACCTGCACATATATAAACTTAGTTACTTACTAACCTCAAGCTCTGGTGGCCTGGTGGCTAAAGCTCTTGCTTCACATGGCGAGGATCTGGGTTCAATTCCCAGACAGGGTAAAAACACTGGGCGTGTTTCTTTATGCCTGTTGTCTATGTTCACCCATCAGTAAAATGGGTACCTGGGTGTTAGTCGACTGGTGTGGGTCGCATCCTGGGACACTGACCTAACTCGCCCAAAATGCTCAGCATAACAAGGAGCTTTCTATATAGTAGTATGCCATTGATGTCAGCTAGGACTGTATACCTTGTACATGTAGTAAATTAAGATATTATTATTATTATTATTATTATTATTATTATTATTATTATTATTATTATTGTTATTATTATCTATCTGAGAATCCTTGTTTGCAAGAACCAAGTCCAGGAGGTTATTTCCCCTAGTTGGCTCTGACACAAACGGCTTCAAAAAATAGTCCTGGACCATCTCAAGAAAGTCACTAGACTCTTAAACTACCTGACAAATTACTCCAATCGATTTGACTGAAGTTAAAAACCTGCAATTAAAACTAAATTTTAGTTTCTAAATAACTGAGCAATTTCGTCCCAGAAAATTTACTGTGGTTACTATGTAGGTTGGAGGTGTGTAGATCACACCTAAGATTAGCTTGATGTCCTACAAGAAAGTGCAGCCAAAAGGATTTCATAGTCAGGGTTTCAGTGAAAAAAAAAAAAAGGTAGCAATCGCAAATAAACATCCCGAATTTCCAAACAAATATAAAGTCTCAAGTTTGGTGTACACACAACCTGTGGACGAGTACACACACACACACACACACATTATACAGGAAAGTAGTGAAAAGATAACTCACCTACAACACTATTTACATGAGACAAGAGCTGCGTCGCCTCCCGCTGACGCTGTTGTTGTTGGTGTTGGGTTGTTAAGGACCACTAATATGTACGCCTTATCGATTATTATTATTATTATTATAATCAAGGGGAAGCGCTAAACCCGGAGGATTATACAGCGCCTGGGTGGGGGGATGTGGAAGGCATTCAGGCTTAATTCGGGGAACTGGAGCACAGATCCAATTCCCTAAATCAAGAGCCCCTCACCAACATCAAGGAACCTTCCTTGAGGGTTGTGATGAATGGTTTGAAAAACCGACAAGTTGAAGATTGAGACACTTATGCAGCATATGGGAATCTTTATTCAGGAAACGTTTCGCCACACAGTGGCTTCATCAGTCCAATACAAAGAGGAAGGCGTAAGGAGAGGAGGAGAATGAGGTAATCAGTCCCTCAACCTGGAATCGATGTGTTCAGTCCATTCTACAAGATTGATGGACTGAACACATCGATTCCAGGTTGGGGGACTGATTACCTCATTCTCCTCCTCTCCTTACGCCTTCCTCTTTGTATTGGACTGATGAAGCCACTGTGTGGCGAAACGTTTCCTGAATAAAGATTCCCATATGCTGCATAAGTGTCTCAATCTTCTTCCTTGAGGGGCTACGCCTTATCGAGCCCTACTTCTCGGGAGTCCAGGAACTTTATATTGTCCAAATCTGGGTGGGTTTTTACGAAACAAATTTTCTTCCAAAAAAGAAACGACACCAGTAGGGTCCAAATGAGGTCAGAATAAGGCAATGGTATGGTGATACCGACAAGATGTGGAAAAAAGACACTTATGTACAGTTTCGTTTCGCCACAAGTGGCTTCCTCAGTCCTCAAGACTGAAGAAGTCACTCGTGGCGAAACGTTTCCTTTAATAAATGTCCTGAACTGTACATAAGTGTCTTTTCCAGGTCAGAATTATTCACCTTGCATAAACCATGTAGAGCCGGACACCCAGACACCCAATCTGAGTCAACGACAACAGGCATTCTTTAGCTGTTGTCCAGCAGCGGACAGTAATATAATAATATCTTTATTTACTACAAGTACATGTACAAGGTATACAAGCCTAGCTGACATCAATGACATACATTGCTATATAGAAAGCCCCCTTGTTATGCCGAGTATTTCGGGCAAATAAGTTCAGTGTCCCAGGATGCGACCCCACCAGTCGACTAACACCCAGGTACTCATTTTACTGATGGGTAAACATAGACAACCGGTATAAAGAAACACTCCCAATGTTTCTACCCTGTCTGGGAATCGAACCCAGACCCTCGTCGTGTGAAGCGAGAGCTTTAGCCACCAGAGCCCTAATACAATGTACAAAGGAGAATGACATTTGAGTGTACATGCCGAAAGGCACTATGTATGCAGAGCATTTCGGGTAATGATGGGGAAAATGTCTGAAGAGAAAATACGGGAAAATTAAAAAAAAATAAATATTCGCCTCCTTTTCCTTCGTTGTAGTTATTATACACAAATAACTAGCTGGTTATTTGTTTTGTTCCAGATACGATATTGTGGCATCCTGTTCTTATGTTGTCGTTGTTATAAGGTTGTATAATATACAATAGTTCTTTACTATGTGACTCATCAAGCCTTGCCTCCCAGAGTCTGGTAAAAACATTTTGACCATAAAGAACAAAAATGCACACTACTGTGACTGGAAGAATACACAAATAACCCGTGACTTGTGAATAGTTTAAGACGGCCGAAACGTCGTCATATGGTTTTCTCCCTCCTATGTGCGGCACATAATATGACCAGTCCTTGGTCATATGTGCCTCATGTGGTCATATCCAAATCAGTCATACAGTGCAATAATTGCCTTAGGGGTTAAAATAACCAGTTAGATATTATATTCATGGGGAAGTGCTAAACCCATAGGGGTCATGCAGCACCTGGATCCACAAAGGTAGTCCTAAGTTACTTTTAAGCCTGCCCCACAATGCTCTGCATACAAGGAGCTTTGGCATGCTGCACTTTAAAAATTGTATTCCTTGTACTTCTCTGTATCAAGCTAGCTAGGTGTATCCTAGCAACAAAAAGCCCAGATGAGCAAGATGCCCCTGAAACCAAACAGGACTTTTATAGATGACTAGATACTCATTGATTATTATATATATAATATATATTATATATATATATATATATATATATATATAATATGAGAGACTATGTTTTCTGGAAGTACTTTATTCTTTGCTTAGGCCATGGTATAATGAATCTATTGTGAGAAACAGTCAGCCACATAATTTTAACACATGAAGAAATGCAAATACTTATTTATGAAAAAGAATCATTGTTATATCATTTTATCACAGTATTGGTAAAAATATTACTGACTAGGAATATGAAACCACCGAATTCAAAATGATTTTCATTTAACTGAGAGCTTCACAAGGATTTTCAGTAAAGTACATTTTCTCAAATTTTATTAAAAATATAACATGTAGAGAATCTGTTAATTGTTGAAAAATTACAACACACATTAATTATCAACATTTTGGCATCATACTCTACATAAAAGAAAACTTTTTTGCAAAGTTTTAGCCTTAAAGTAAAGGTAACAACCTCCTTAACAGTCCTTACAATATGGGCACATAGTAAAGAACTACTGTATATTATACACCAATAGTCAAGACACAGGTACTTTAAGCTTTACAATAAAAAGACAAAGGTACACATTTAAATATAATTCTATACTTCAAAATAATTCATGATAAATTATCACAAAAACACTTATTAATTGCACAGCAACATACCAAATTTGGAGTTAGTAAATATGACCAATGAATACCATACATCACAAATATTCCATCATACTATTTCATGGAAATATGCACAAAGAACTTCAAAACAACTGAAGCTAAGGTATAATATATACAGTACATCCACAAACATCCATGGGCACTTCCAGGGAAGTAGTAAGGGATACCATTTCTCAAAATGATTACTGTATTTTCTTTGGCCATATTTATGATGCTGATCAAAATATCAACCTGGATGACCATCAATAAATTCAACCTTAACACTGACAAGACCTACATTATGTATGGGAGCAGAGCAAGTAATGTCCAATTAAACGTTATGATTAACAATACTCTTATTGCTAAGCATAATGAGGAAAATTTCTGGGTCTGCACCATGACAGTGACTTGAAATTTAACACCCACATCCAAGACATTACAAAAAAAAATCCAAAACCGTTGGCATCCTTTCCAAGACACGTTTTTATGTACCACAAACAGCCCTACTTGCATTATACTATTTACTGATCTATCCCTACCTCACCTACGCTGCATGTGCCTGGGGATCCACATCAGCAAATTACCTCAAACCAATACTAACTCAACAAAAGGCCACAGTACGAATGATCACACAGTCTACTGCTAGACAACCCCCTCCCCACAATTCAAAACATTTATTCCTACTGTACATCCTACATTTTTTTTTTTTTTTTTCAACAAGTCGGTCGTCTCCCACCAAGGCAGGGTGACCCAAAAAAGAAAGAAAATCCCCAAAAAGAAAATACTTTCATCATCATTCAACACTTTCACCACACTCACACATTATCACTGCTTTTGCAGAGGTGCCCAGAATACAACAGCTTAGAAGCATATACGTATAAAGATACACAACATATCCCTCCAAACTGCCAATATCCCAAACCACTCCTTTAAAGTGCAGGCATTGTACTTCCCATTTCCAGGACTCAAGTCCGACTATATGAAAATAACCGGTTTCCCTGAATCCCTTCACTAAATATTACCCTGCTCACACTCCAACAGATCGTCAGGTCCCAAGTATCATTCGTCTCCATTCACTCCTATCTAACACGCTCATGCACGCTTGCTGGAAGTCCAAGCCCCTCGCCCACAAAACCTCCTTTACCCCCTCTTTCCAACCCTTTCGAGGACGACCCCTACCCCTCTTTCCTTCCCCTATAGATTTATATGCTTTCCATGTCATTCTACTTTGATCCATTCTCTCTAAATGACCAAACCACCTCAACAACCCCTCTTCTGCCCTCTGACTAATGCTTTTATTAACTCCACACCTTCTCCTAATTTCCACACTCCGAATTTTCTGCATAATATTTACACCACACATTGCCCTTAGACAGGACATCTCCACTGCCTCCAACCGTCTCCTCGCTGCTGCATTTACCACCCAAGCTTCACATCCATATAAGAGTGTTGGTACTACCATACTTACATCCTACATATACAGAATAAATTCTAATATAAATCTTGACCTGAAGCATTTCCTTGACAGTTGCAACAAAACCCATAGACATAATACTAGACACAAAAATCTCCATGACATACCCAGTGTCAGGCTTATGAAATATGTCATTTGTGATAGACTATTTGCGATTAACTGTCTTATTGTAGTTAATTGCATAAGTATTCAACTATATTAGCCTAGGAAAAATGATGGCAGGTTGCATTTGTTTCTAAGAAAACACAGATGGTCTCTAAGCACCATGACAGTAATGCTGGAGCAGCAGTAAGAATGAATGGGAGAGTGTTGGTATTAATCTTTGTTAAAACTCAGTGTACATAAAAGGACCCAAAATCTGGAACTCCCTGCCAGAACTCTCCAGAGCCACCCTCTCTGCCAGTATCTTCTTTCACTAACATAGCATAACAACAACTAAATATGATAAAAGTATATTTTCATATTCTCACTGCCACGAGCATATGGAAAACAATATATTCTTATTCTCATAATCTGTAATCCTCACAACCATTCAATATATTGAATGTTTTCAAAACATGTTACAGTAGGGCCCCACTTATACAGCAGGTTATGTTCCAGGCTACCGCTGTAAATCGGAAATTGCCATAAAGTGAACGCCCTTTTTTTCCACTTATAAATGCATATAAATGCTAGATAACAAGTTTACACTAACATATATTAAGTTAGCAATAGAACTAGGATTGTATTAAAAAACAATAAAAAAGTAAAATACACATACTACAGTATACTCATTACTTACCTTAAAATATATGTAGTCTTAATGTAGGGTAACATGAGCAGTGGCTTTATCAATACAAATTCCAGGACATAACTTGAAGATAGTAGAACTATGTACAGAAGATGAGGTAATCCGTCCCTCAACCTACTCCTACGTTGAGGGACTGATTACCTCATCTTCTGTACATAGTTCTACTATCTTCAAGTTATGTCCTGGAATTTGTATTGATAAAGCCACTGG